AAAATAAAATAAAATAAAATAAAATAAAATAAAATAAAATAAAATAAAATAAAATAAAATAAAAATAAAAGTCAATGACACAGTTCAGTGAGTAGCCTCATGAGCCTGCAGACTTGAGTTCAATATTAGAACCTACAAAAAGATGGAAGAACCAGCTCTACAGTCATCCTCGCTGTCGCACACCCATCCCTGCTGCCAAATCAAACCTGCCAAATCAGACAGGTTTATAAAATGAAGTGTTTGGAATACAGGGCCTCCTTATCACTCCTCACTACACAGCTTTAAGGAATGAGGAAATCGCGGTTGGCCTTGGGCCAGAAGCTTGGGATACAATCTCCTGGCTTATGTCAAGAACTTCCAGCAGGGGGCAGCAGGACACCGTCAGGCATCTCTTCCTTGGGCGTCATTGTGGAAACACACCTAAACAGCAGGAGCTAAACAAGGAGCTGGTGAGCCTGAGTGTTAGTCTGTGGCTCAAGAATGTCAGGCGCTCACAGCACTGCCGATAAAAAAAACACGGTTTGAGCAAAGTAAATAGAAGAGAAACGAAGTTTTTTCCTAATATATTTTTTCAGTTTACAAAGTCTCAAAGCCACCATTTTCTTGTCTTCTATGCTTTAGAAGGGGCTTACGGCCTCTTCTCCAAGTTCCAACAGGAAGGCCTCTTGTAATCAGCTCTCTTTGTCCCACATAATCGGCAGCCACCCGAGAGCAGGCCAATCACGAAAAAGGACTTTGGTCTAAAACCCATCCTAGGCTTGAACCAGCGCACTGACAAAAACCATTAGCGAGGGGCTGAGAGGGCTCAGCAGTTACGATTACTGCCTGCTCTTGCACAGGGCCCAGGTTCAGCTTCCAGAACACACAATGATGGACTGCAACTCCAGTTCCAGGGGATCTGATCCAACACCCTCATCTGGCCTCTGTGGGTACCAGGCACACATGTGCTACACAGACATACATGCAAGCTACACACTCATACCTAGAAATTTTTGAAAAAGCAACTGAAAAAATAAAACACTAGTGAAAGATTTGTCAAGGAAGTGGGACACTGTGAGCCCAGGCTTTAGCACCACAGGGTCCTCGGGTGGGCTGACCCTCAGTGAGCCACTTTCCCTTAAAGAGCATGCACACTCCTCTGTACTCAAGGCAATGAGCCCGGAGGCTACTGGGAACTACTTCTCTCCAAAGGGAATCTAAGGATCGTGATGACTCTGCAGGGGACAGTAGCTGTCCTGGGCGGGGCCGAGGGGTTGATGAGGGAAGGGATCGGGTCAGGGTCTATTATTTATACCGTGGAAGGAACAGTTTGTGTGGAAGCCACACGCCTCGGCCCTCTAGCATCTGCAGCATCTCTGTCTGGCTTTAGCATCGTTGAACACAGGTGGGAAGCATGCATGCTTTGTACAGCTTCCACCTAGAACTCTAAGCAAAACCCGGGAGGTACCTGCTCAGCTCTCTTGAAGGACTAAGTTCCCAGGCACCTGTTCAAGCCCCTGTGGAGATGGACAGGTCAAGGACCACTCGAGGCCACTCAGAAAGGCGGGCACATGCCAGAGTGTATGAAGCCACCACAAAGTTTGGTTTCCATTTTTTTTTACTTCCAATCCCAGATAATCTTTCCATTTCATTTCAAAAAGTACTAAACAGACATGGGCAGGAAGGGGGGCAAAAAAACCCCTAACATTTGCAAGATATGCAGGCAACTCCCCAGTTCCGCCACTAACACCCACAGATGCCAGGCAGGCAGCCCTCAGAGAAACAGTAATCAGATCTACACCATAAATGCGTGACCTTTTTATTTCATAGAAAAAAAGAAAAAAAAAGATCAACCCAAAAAAGCCAGGCCGCACACTAGCTTTATACACGCAGACTCTTCTGGATACCTTCCTGTCTGGCCAGGCAGGGAAGTTCTTGGAGACAGCAAGCTGGAGGCGCTAGGGGAACGGAGATCGCCAGGGTCTCCTTGCTTTCCCCCGTTCGAAGGGCCGGGAAGTGGCCCGTCTCTGTGCCTCTGGCCTGCAGCTAGGAGTCAAGGGCAGCTACCTGCTGTGTGGGTAGCAGGTCCCTGATGGCTGGATGGAGGGCGAGCGCCTCGGTGCTTGCCTAGCTAGCGTGAGCAAGTGGGAAGTAGCCCAAGACACATCAGTCTTTGTCTTTCCTTCCAGCCCCCCAGGACCCTCAGTCCACCGAGCCGTTGTAGGATTTGTTGAACTTGTTGAACGCGAAGTCTACGGTGTGTGTGGAGATGGGCTTTCTGTACAGGGGGTTTGAGGCCTGCGAGAGAAGAAGCGTGTGTTAGCTCGGCCTCAGGCCCAGTGCCTCCAGGGGTGCCTGCTTTCCTGGCTGGCTTTGTGTTCTCGGGGTTCCCTGTGAGCTTTTATTCTTCATCTCTGAAACGCAGGGCTCACGCAGAAAGCCCTGCAAGTCCTTAGCACACAGACCCTCACTCTGGGAAGACAGAGCTGCTTCCCCTGATCTCCGCTCTCCTGGGCCTGCAGTGTGCCTGAGGCCGAAGGACTTGCTCACATGGCCATCCAGCTGGACCCGAGCTTGAGCTTTTGTCTTGGGTTGGGTCTCTGTATCTGTCCAACTCCCCACTGAACCCTCAGCTGCCGCATCACCCCAGAGCAGTCCCAACATGCCCATCACAACTTCCGGGTGTGACTTTCCCATCCAGCACTGAAGATGTTGATTCTTCATTGTTCATGAATTTCCTTGTTAGTTCTGTGATACTAGGGGTTGAACCCAGAGCCCTGCACATGCCAGGCTAGAGCATTACCGCTGAACTAACTCAAATTTTGGTCCTTTTTATTTCGTGACAAGGGCTTTGAACCCAGGCTAGCTTTGAACTTCAAACCCTTCCTGTCTCAGCCTCCAGAGCGGCTGGGTTTATGGGTCTATCCTAGCATACTTAGCTCATTCTTTGTTGGTTTTATCAATTGTTCTTAATAACAAAGATATGGGCTGCCTTTGGCCCCGGCTCTAGGCCAGCGACCTCTTCTGTACCTATCCCCCACTCACCATTTCATAGCGGGCCCTGGAGCGCTCACTCTGGAACTTGGCAAACTCTCGGCGGTCGTGAATGGTGACGAGCAGCTTCCAGATGGCCAGGAGTGCCATCCCGATCAGGAGGATGCTGCCGACCACAGCCAGCAGGATGGTCATGGCATTGGGGGCACTTCCACACTCTGGAGGGGACAAGGAGACAGGTGGACAGAGCCGTGAGCATCCGGACGGATGCCTCCACCTCTGATCTCAGTTACATCCTGAACGAAAGGCTGCCTTCCCTTCTGCCCATCCCCCTTCATGTTGCCTCCAGGAGACCGAAGGCTGGGCTGGGTTCGGGCAGTCTCTCCAAGGAGCAGACAGCAGAAGACTCAGAGAACTCAGTCACTGTTTCAAGCTCACACGGCCAAGCAGTGACAGAGACGGGCGTCCCGCTGAAGGGCCACACTTTCCCTTATTGGGCTGTGTCCCAGAGGCTCAAGCTTGGCCCAGCTCCAGTGCAGGAGGCTGGTCCACAGCTCGGCTTTCACGTCAGTGGCTTCATGGACAAACCAGGCAGACAGGAGGTAGCATGCACCACTTCCGGAAGGGCTGGGCCAGGGCCAGGCTAAGGGCCAGAGCCCTTAGCAAAGAGCTAGCTCCAAGGAACAAATGTGCTTATTTCCAAGCAAAGACAAGGATTGGGAGCAGGACCTCATGGCTTCAGGCAAGCGCCCTGGGCTGGTACCGCACTTCCTCTGCCTCTGGCCCAAAAAGGCAATGGCTCAACTTGCAAACTGGGCTCCTTGACCTGGAGTCTGCAAACCTTTTTCTACTCCCTCCCTTTTCCAAAAACTGAAATGTCTGAAGCCCCAGTCACTCTGAGGCACAGGCCTTAGTCCCAGTGCCAGTGCCTGGAACACAGGACAGAATTGTTGACACTGAGCAGGGTGGCGGGAAGGAAGGAATGTGAGGCCCAGAGTGACATTCGCCACTGGAATCTGCTCTGGGAAACAGCAGGAACCAGACGGACTGCAGTGACCCAGATGACCCCCAACTGAAGAGGCAGCCCAGCACCGGTGGACCAGCTGCCCTGCACCCTCCCTGCAAAACCCGTTACCCCAGCATTTAACCCAGCATGCCACGGTTTCCTTCACAGTGCTGCTCCACAGCAGCACTCCCACAGCCTTGCTGCCCCAGGCCCAGGCCCCTGTTTCAGCAACACGGCTGGCCAGTGTGCTCCTCACACAGACTCTGAGACAGGGCTCGTGTAGCCCAGGCTGGCCTTTAAGCGCTCTGAACTTCTCATCTTCCTGTCTCTACCTTCCACAGTGCTGGGTTCCCAGGCTTGTGCTACCCGCATAGGGATTGACACAAGAAAGTGGGCCCAGGATGACCCCTCAGGCTCTCACCTACCTGGCTCCCTGAGGACCGTCAAGTTGGACCTTCCGCTGGGCAGTTCCGTGTAGCTGAACATCATGACGCAGTCCTTAGCAGTTTTGTAGAAGCAGAGCACAGCTTCCTGGTCATCTTTGACTAGGAGGGAAGCAAGCAGAAACATCCTGAGCGTCTCTCTGGGTAGCATCGGAACCACTGACAGAAGCCAAGCACCCCAGGAAAAGATGGGAGACTTCAAGGGGCTGCGGGGCTTTAACTGGCCCAGGGCTGAGTTTACTGCTTTGGGGACATATGGCTGCCATCAGAACTGTCAACCCTCTGAAGGGCTGGCTGGTGGTGACATGAAATAAAAGAGGCCTTCAACGGTTGGGAGTGGGCATGGATGAATGGAACTGGATGTAACGGGGTTGAGTGAGTGTCTGCTTTTGGGAACTGGTCCAGTCTGCAAGGCTGAGCTGACTGAAGAGGACAAGAGGTTGCTCTTCCTGGAACTCGGGGAGCTGAGGCTCTGGGGAGGAGAGGCTGGCTTCATGGTGTTACCCAACACTGATACTATGAGCCCGTCAGAGGCCAGGCCATTGAAGACGCAGCTCTGCACATGTCAGGTCTCACTCCTGACAAACCTTCCTTGGCTGCCACAGCCCTTCTTGCTCCCCACATCACCCCTGACCAGAGTGGACACTGTCACTATCCTGTCCAGGCACCAGGTCCCCAGAAAAGACTGATGTTTGGGAGGTTAAAGGGTTGGAGAAAAGGCCACCAGGGTACCTTCATCCCAAACCACAACCGAAGGCTAATTAATGCTGTGACGCTAAATGTGTTTCCCTTCCTGTCTTTTCAAGCTGGTTGAACAGGAGCTTCAGCCAGGAAGCAGATGGACAAGTATGGCTAGCAAACATGAAGGCCCAACTTTTTCTCTCAGCCCCCTCAGACTTAGCGAGGGTGTCTACTTTCAAAAGCGCAAGGGAAAACTGGACGCCGTGGCACACAGTTATGATCCCAGTACTTGGGTGTCTGAGACAGGAGGATGGAAAGCTTGAAGTCAACCTGGGATATACAGTGAGAGCTACGTAAAAACAGAAACAAAATAGTAAGGCTGGGCGCGGTGATGCACACCTTTAATCCCAGCACTCAGGAGGCAGAGGCAGGTGGGTCTCTGAGTTGGAGGCCAGCCTGGTCTCCATAATGACTTCCAGGATAGCCAGGACTACCAGTGTGAGACCCCGCCTCGAAAATAAACAAATAAGCAAGTAAACAGGTAAATAAATAAGGAGAGAAAGAAAGCAAGCCTGCCTAGGGGCACATGAAGGCTCGGACTCTACTCTGCAGAGTCCCCTTGGAGGGTCAGGCAAGGAAGGAGCTATGCACAAAGGCCTAGCTTGTTTGTAGGAGGTGGGAAGGGATCCCTTTTTCTTTCCTAACTATACCTGCTTCGTACGAAAGGAGCTCAGCCAGGCCCTGGAGAGCAAGCCAGGGAAAGAGCAAAAGGCAAGGACTCGAGGGTTTGCAAAGAATTCCCAATTCCCCAGAGCCTGGCTTAGGGCTGGCCACATGGTAGTCACTCACTGTATGCCCTTTGGATCAACAGACTCAGCATACACAATGCCGTGGTCAGACCAAGCAGCCCACCAAAACTGGGGGAAGAGGGAACAAGAGTCTACAAAGAGGGAAGCCAGGACAAGGAGTTTACGGCAGCCAGGGGTCAAGACAGAGGGCAAGCCTGCTAGCATTGGTAAGGCTGGGGTGAAATTTCCCTCTTCAGATATGCAGTCCCTCGGGAACCATTTAATCATTTCAAAATGCAGCCAATTTAAGAAACTCAGTGTTGTAACTCCACTCCCCCCCCCCAAAAGAAAAAAACCCGTCCACATGTGTTAGCATTCAGTCTCGACTCCCTTCCCCCACTTCCTATTCTTACTCAACTGAGGTTGCCTACTGTGGGCTTTTTTTTTGGTCTTTGTTTTTTGTTTTTTTTAATTTTTTTTTTGTAAACATTTATTTATTATGCATAGTGTTCTGTCTGCATGTACACCTCCATGCCAGAAGAGGGCACCAGATATCATTATAGATGGTTGTGAGCCACCATGGGGTTGCTGGAAATTGAACTTATGACTTCTGGAAGAGCAGTCAGTGCTCTTAACCTCTGAGCCATCTCTCCGGCCCCCACACTGTGGACGTTTTAAATAGCATTCTGTAATATCTATCAGCCCCAACTCTTTGGATCATGATTGTGTGATAATTCTATTAGTAGCTTTTTAGGCAGCTAAACTGATTTCTGTATGACATTCCTGCCAATCGTGTGTGAGGGCCCCATCCCAAGGTCCCCTTGGGGAGCCAGCAATCACACCAAGGAAAACTCAAGGCTGAGACCCTTCATTCCTCAGGGAGGAAAACAAAAAAACAAAAACAGAAAACCCCCTAGATGCCTGCCAAGGTCCATGCCTATGCAGAGCACTCACCAATGGTGTCCGCCCACGTGATCACCTCATCTTTGCACTGGTGGTGGCAAGTCTGGTTGTCAGGCTTCCCAGCGTGAAGCAGCAAGCATTCTACACAGTCTCTGAGAAAATGAATGTGGTTGTTAGCTGCTGTCTAATGTCCAACAGGCTCAGCTGCACTCTGGCAGTCAGGCCTCAGGGACAAGGTGCTCCGTCACCTTGCTGGTGTTAAAAGGAAGCCCCAGGGTCTCAGGGAGAAATGCGTGCGTTTAGAGGTCTAGCTGGTAGACCGGCCAATTTGCCAGCTACAGACCTTCCCATTCCTGACAGGGGGAACCAAGCCCACAGCCATCTGCACCCTGCTGCAGTGAACTGGTCAAACAGCTCCACGGAAGAGGTTGCAGGGTATAAAAACTACTCTTGTCCTTGGAGGAGCCTCCGAAGTCCTGGGGACAGCACTTGGATCCCTTGAGCTACCCCAACCTCGTCTGGACAAGGCTCTGGAACATGCCCTCTTCCAGGGGCCTTTTAGCAGTAAGCCTCAATGCCTGGGCAACCACAGGGTGGGACTTCTAGGACTGATGACCACTGTCTGGGCACTGTGGGCCCCCCCCATCCCCACAGTGTCCACCTGCCAGTATCCTTCAGGGTATGCTTGCCACTCACCTGGTAATTGGCCTACACTACAGCTGGTACATTCTATGACAGAGACCTTCTCTAGAGAATAGATGAGGAGGCAAAAAGAAGCCCTCTCGGTGGCCCACCGCCCACCTTGGGCTGAGAGCATGTGTAGATGCTTAATTACATGGAATGCCCTGTTGAGCAGTTATCAAACCCAGGTCCAGATCATCTCCCTCCAGAGGTTGCATCGGAATAGGGCATTTGCGGACACAGGTGGGAGGCCAGGCCTCAGCCAAAACCAAAAAGTTTGTGAGAGGGGAAGGGTCCCCGCCTCCTTGGGAGGACCAAGGTGGTGCCATGGGAAAAGCAGAACGAGCAGAGCCAAGCAGGGCAGGGGGCAGCAGTCTCAGGTCTGTGGGGATGTGGCACTTGGAGTTCTAAAGACACGAAAGGGGAGATTCTAAAGCCAGGTGTACAGGGGGAGGTGCCCTGACACTGAAGTGATGGGTCAGGCCACCAAAACCCAGCCACAAGGGTCATCCTGCTCGTCCTACCTGTCTACGGGGGTCAAAACCAAAGTGTTCTGGGTGTCTAGAAAGCGTCCTGGTAGCAGAGGGAAGCCACATATAACCATTCTGACTCAATTAGCATTTCCAGTGCAGGAGCTCTGGACCTGGACCTCAGGGCAGGAGGGAGCTCCATCACCCAGTAGGAGCGCTCCACAGAGAGAGCTGAGGCCCAAGAGAAGCAGATCAGGGCCCCTCCCAATAAGGCTCATAGCTGTGGCCTGTCCTGTCTGGCCCCACTCATACCCCTCAATATAGCCAGGCTCTGCCAGGGGGCAGGAAGGGGTGGGCTCCGTCTTTGGTCATTTACACTTGCTGGACCTTCCTCCAGCCCTCCTGAATCAACACGAGCAGCAAACAGGATGCCTGCTTCCAGCTGGCTGGAACCACAGCTCCTCCAGACTCCCTGCTGTATCACTACAGCTCCAGGTCACACACAGCTCCCAGCTCTAGGTCGCCCTCCAACAACCCACGTGAATACAGCAGCCTACAACTGAGCCCCCTTCCTCCAGCTCGGCTGGGGGAAACTCAGCATGTCTGCTCCTTTAAAGAAACCAGCTGATCACGGAGATTTTTTTTTTTTTTTTTTTTGGGCAAGGCACGTTAATTAAAATCAGCTGGAGCCGAGTGCGGCCTCACCAAAGCGAAGGATGTGTTTGATTAGTTCTAGAACACAAAGGGCGAAGGACTGAAGTATTCAGGGCCTCTCAGAAAACAGCAAGTAGGGAAAATGGCCTAAAATTTCATTATCAAAAGAACTTGGTAAAAAAGAAAAAAAAAAAAAAAAAAAAAAAAACCAAAACACAAAAGTTTCCATTAGGCGATAAAAGAGACAGAAGGTCGTTGTGGTCCAGGGGTAAAGGAGAAGGGCCAGTCTTTATCTCTGGGCTTCACCAAAGTGCTTCATTTAAAGCAAGGGCTGTTTTTCCCTGAGGCCCTTTAACTGCTCAGGACAAGCCTACATTGCCCGAGGCTCCCTAGGAGTGCAGAGGAGCTCCGTGTCCTGTCCTAAGAAGTGGGAGTAAGGCTCACCAGGGTCTTCTGGGAGCTGTGGGGGCTGGAGGGTGGGAGTCTCTTGGTCACAACATGCTGACTGGGGAGGGCCATGAGTTCACTCACACGGGCGGGCGTGCTGTCTGGGCTACTCCCTGCCTATCTCGTCTCTCAATCTTCGGGCAGGTTCAGTTGGCCGCGCCCAGGCTTGTCTGTGGCACACGGCCAGGGAGGGTCAGGCTATTCCGAAGGCTTCCGAGCACAGCTGACCAGCAGCAATTGCCGGCCCTGCGAGCATGAACTCACTTCATTATCAGCCTGGCCAGACGTTTGCAGGGAAATCTGCCAGAAGAAAAATCACACACTTGCGCTCCTTCGCCAAAGAGTAACGCGGCCTGTACAGCCGCTTGTTTCTGCTTGGTGCCTGGCTTCCCCCCCTGCCTGGCTCCTCCGTACCGAGGGTGACACAACTGTTATCCAGCAGGTTTGGACAGCCGATGTCAGGCCTGTGCTCCGGGGAGCAGCATGGCTTGACTCCTGCATTCTGCCAGCGTGAGGAGTGGAGCCCGGGATGGCCATCGGGCTGTGTGGCCTGGCCCTGGGCTGGGCCAGTGTCTGCAGCCTAGGCAATCTCTACATTCGGCCCTGCTCTGTTATCAGCACAAATAGAGCAGAAAAACGCAAAAGCCCCTGCGACTGCTTCGGGCGTCGCTATGTAGGTCGGCTCCTTTCCATCCTATTGGCCTTCTGATTACGTTTTGTTGAATGCAGCGGTTCCCACAGGCCTGGTCTGGGATGCATTGTTTGGGAGATGCTCTGTGGAGGATCAAAGTCATGTGGGGCAAGGTCGCACACTACATTCCCCTTTGGAAACAAACTGCAGCTCGCTCAAGGCTCTGAGAAGGCACTGCTTTGGCTGGAGTCAGCAACGGTTCCATCTCATCCAACTGCCTCTCCTCCATCTATCTCTACACTGGCTTAGAACGGATTGATGAGCAAATTTTTTTTTTCTGGACTGTTTGACTTTTCTTCCACTGATCCCCCAATTCCTTCCCCCACAACCACCAACACCAGCATCTCACAGCTGGTATTTTGGGGACTGTTAGCACAGGTTTTGTTCAGCAGCTGGGAGGTTGGATGGCAGGCATGAGAGGCCGGCTGGGGAGGGCTGCCTGGTGAAGGACAGGTCTGGGGCTTGGCGGGGGTGGGGGGGGGAGCAGAGCCTCACCTCTTGGAGCTGCAAGCATCTGGGCAGGTTGGGCATTTCTCACACATCTCCCCAAAGGCTCCAGGCTCTGTACACTGGCACTGCCCACAGACGCAGCGGCCTCGGTCACTGCAGATCTGCCCGTCCTTGCCCCGGCACATGCTGATGTCTGTTGAGCAGTTACAATTGTCCCCAATGTAACCTGCATGGCACTTGCATTCTCCGCAGTGACACTCGCCATGGCCTAAAAGGACACACGCACGCATCAGTCAGGACCTGCTGGCTTTTATATATCAACACAGGGAACTCCCCGCCCCCTCAACTCCCCAGTGCCTGCCATGTACCAGGGTGAGGAATCCCACAGAGAATGGGGCACTGACTTTTCCTCAGAGCCAGAGAGGGACTGGTGGTGCCACAGAATAATATGCATGACCTGGCAGGGTCTGGACTGGTGCTTCGATTGGTCCAGACCCTGGCCAAGTCATGACACAAATCCAGAAAAGCTTCCTGATTCAATAGATGCGTGAAAATAGTCCTCCATTGTGTCTACTCCAGGAGCTGTTACTACAGAAAGGCAAAACTGCAGATGAGATGAAGCAAAGGCGCCTCTTCCAGACCGCCCAGTTGGGCCCTAAACCTAGCGATAAGGTCCTCACAACACAAGCAGGAGCTTGGGGGATGACGACAGAAGGTTGCCAGGGGACAACAGGAGCAATACACTGTGGCTGGCTTTCAAGATAGCTAAGCAATGCAAGGAACACCAGAAGCTGGGCAATCCTAATGCCTCCAGGAGCGTGGGGGAGTACAACCTCGCAGGCACCCTGACTTCAGCCAGAGGAAACAAACTCTGACCTCTGACCTCCAGCGCTCAGAAAGAATAGATCCAGATGGCTCGAATGCACAAAACATATGGTGATTTGTTACAGGCCCAAGCACAACCAGGAACAGTCATGCTTCCTGAGTCCTAGGGAGATGCTGACTTCTGGCTCTAAGGCCCTGCCATCCTGGGGCGGGGGCTGGGGGGTGACAGGGGGAAGCAGGGAGGGGGCTGTGGAGCCTCAGCCCTCACTGGCACCAAAGTACTCATTCTTGTATTCATGTCTGGCACTGACCGTGGTACGGTTGGCTCCGCTCATTCTCACAGTAACCCTCAACGCAGGGGTTGGCACCCAGCTCTTGGGAGCCAGAGTCAGGTAGATCTTTGAGTCTGAGGCCAGCCTAGTCTATAGAGTGAGTTCCAGGACAGCCAGGGCTGCAGAGAAACCCTGTCTCAATGACCCCCCCCCCCAAAAAAAAAAAAAAAAAAACAAAGACAGAATCTTGAGAGATGAAACTGATACAGCAGGCTTGGCCATCGTGAGACGCTACTGGGGACAACCTGGTTCTCCATGCTGGATGGATCCTGTCCCCTGCCCGAGAGGGAGGAGGTGTAATAGGAATTAAATTATACTGGCAAACTGTCATGTGCTTTCAAAAGAGCGGACTCTGAGCACGTGCGCTTCAAATGTCCTCCGAAAGTGTCCTGAGCAAGCTGGCTCCCCTGGCCCCATGTCAGCAAACAGCTAAGGGTATTACAGACACGGCTTGAGAACAGCTGGAAGGCAGACCATCTCCAACAGAGGTCTACTGTTTGCCCCACGGTATAAAAATGCCTGCAGTGGGAAGGAGGAACTCACATAACCCACAAAAAGCACTCTCGGTGGGGAACCCCAGCAATCGGTCTCAACAGGGCTTCCCCAGCGGGGTTGGGGTGGGGGCGGGAGGTGGATGTTATAAGCACCAGATTTGATGAGGTTTGCTCCTCAGGTCATCTCTGTTGAACGGCGGAAGTGCCCAATTTGACGATGTTTTTTCCTGTCTATCCGGGACTTGCTGCCTGTTCCTTTGCTTGCTAGATGCCTAGCAAATGCACTCACTCAAAACAAGAAACACGACTATCGTAGACCATTGTCTGGTATTGTAGAGCATCGCCTTAAGGTTCTGCAGGCGTTGAGGACAGTGTCATCACTGAGTGGGGGTCCGTGTGATTACCTGCTGGGCACAACGTGGGTGCCCTGAAATCCGTGGCAACTGTGTCCTCTGGGAATCTCAACTTTCCAGTGCTATAAATGGCTCACTCTCCCCAAAGTTATCGATATTTGCGTGTCTCTGTGGGACATTACATACGCACTCGGATGGGAGTCCGCTGATCTGGAACAGGGTGCCGCAGCCCTCAGAGCTGGACTTTAACAGGTTGTTGTGAGCACCCTGGAGTGGGTGCTGGGAACTGAACTCTGTTATTCTCTAAGAGCAGCGAGTGCTCTTACCCACTGAGCTCTCTCAGTTTTTAAAAAGCTGACTGTTAATAGCACATCTTCCTCCTTGGCATCCTGCTGCTAAGGCTGACATCATCAAGAAAACCAGGTGTTTGCATGTACCCCATCCATAGGTGAGTGCAAGACTTGGAGAGCCCAGCTTTGGGTCACAGTGGAGCTCAGGGACTTCACTCCACTTTGGAGTCAAGTTATTCTGACTCTGGATCCCAGCATGCTCGTGGGCACTAACGAATTTGGCCCACAATAGAGACTAAGGACTATAAGGGAATCACAGCCCTCAACTTCCTGGCCCTCTTCCTCTCCGGCTCATGTGTCACAACCTGTAAGGGACATGGGGTGTGGGGAGACATGGGCCATCTGGAGTGTCCCTGTGCCCTAACCTTCTGTCACAGGACAGTCTCTTCACTCGCCCTGGGGCTCCAAGCCACAGAGCATTTCACAGGCAGCGCTGAGGCATATGGCCAGGCCTCTGGGAAGGGAAGAATGCCAGGCAGGCCAAGAGGAGGCTGAGAAATGCAGCTCACACTACGTAGGAGCTGGCACGCCATGTGGCTGCCACAGGAAGGCGCCCGTACAAGGTCACAGGCATATGGGATTCAGGATGACCTCTGTCTCACCATCAGCATGTGACTGGCGCTACTTCCAGACCTGAGCAACGGCAGAGCCCCACAGGAGTCTTCAAAGACGAAATGGATCCGACACACACAACCCCCCTCACTCCCTCCACAGGGGCAGTGTTGGTCAAGAGCCTGGCTTAAATTAAAGCAGTTCACGGCTAAAGGCAACCTCGCCCAACATTTCATTACAGGAGACCTGCAGAAAAGGAAAAGACTATGGAGTAGGCACATACCCTTACCCATACTCTGCCAGCTGGTACCTGGTGTGGCTTTATCATGTCTATCCATTCATCATGTATATTTTTTAAAAATGAATCTTAGAGTCTACGTTAGGGGCTAAGTATCGTTTTTCACTTTCTGCTCAGAGACAAGCTTTTACCAGGTTGCCCAAACTGCCTTGAATTCATACTACAGTCCAGGAAGGCCTTGGAGTCCTGACCCTCCCACCTCAATTTCCCAAGCAGCTGATGTACCACCAGGCTCGGCCAGAGAACAATGATACACCATGGCCCTGGTGCTCTCCACCCATCACAACCCTCCAGAAAGCAAGGGCGAAGGAGCCGCAGAAGGTGCCAGACTTCCCAGCACGAGAAGCTGTTTTCCTGAGGTGTAGGCTCCTTCCTGACGCTGGCAGCACTGTAAGAAGGGTCCACGTGTAATTTCAAACAATATCCCAAAGAATCAAAGTTTTGGAGGCGTCCATTACCCCATGGGTGGGCTTAGGATGCAGCGGGTGTGCTGAAGCGAAGGAAGCCTTGATTTTTCTGATGATGGAGCATCTACATGCAAAGGTCTTCTCGCTGTAGAATGGGCATGCTTGAGGCTGGAGAGATGGCTCAGTGGCTAAAGCATTGGCTATTCTCCCAAAGGACCCAGGTTCAAATCCCAGCATACAGCAGCTTGCAACTGTCCATAACTCTAGTTCCAGTGGATCTGACACCCTCACATAGGCATAGGGGCGAATACCAATGTAAATAAATACATTTTTTAAAAAAAGACAACAACAACAAAACAGGCATACTCAGCAGAGGTGCCTGGAGCTCTGTGCTCCCCACCGTTGTGGCAGAACAGCAAGGAAACCCCATTTGCCTGGGAGCACATCTGATACCCTGCGGATCCCGGAGTTCCAAACGCCCAGCCCAAGGCTACTATGGCTGAGTGGGCTCCAGATCCAGAGAGCAAGAGAATCCAGGGCAAGAGACAGTGGGAGGCAGTGGTACATGAGAGGCCGCCGTGGGCTCTTGTGGGGCACGAGACTCACCAGAGACGCAGCATGTCCCTAAAGCACCCCCTACCCACAATGCAGTGTGGACATGACAGGCAGATAAAGCAGTGTGTCGTGAGCCTAGCCTACCCAGGGAAAAGGACTGGGAGACACAGAAAACCTCCACATGTGGCTTTTTGGCTTCCAACATTGGAGGATTCCAAAGCAAACGACAAGAAAGCCAAATGAGAAAGGATAGCCAAGGCCTGTGCTCGGGAACACTGTGGAGGCCACCAGCACTCACGTCCTGAAGGGATTCTTGTCCCCAGCGGAGACTTTAACAGTTATAGTTCGGTGACCACGTGGCTGCTCGCTGCTTTTTAAAGACAGCAGAAGAGCTGGGGGGGGGGGGGGTGTTAGTGGCACAGCCCTTGCCCAACATGCACAGGGCACTCACTGGCTTCCATCCCCAGCAGCCCAGAAAAGGCTGAAAGCACTTAGATGAAGACACGGCCCCTGCACTGTGTCTTCCTTCACACTTCAGGACTGTTGTTCCTGACTAGTAACAGGGATCTTTCTCAGGGAGGTGGGCTGAGCCCCAGAGCCCACAACATAGTACTGCAAAGTATGTTAACTGGTAACGGGTGGCAGTTGGGAGACTTGCTTTCTTGGCTTAGTCTTCCAAGGTCCTTCAGAAAGTGTAACCAGCAGAAGCCCTACAGGTCTGATAACATTGTATCCTTATTCGAATGTCTGATCTTAGACATCTTCAGCATCTTAGTATCCACACAGCTTTGCCCTCCCCTAGCTTAGGAATAGTAAAATGACAGGGGGCATTTGGCCACTGCTCCCGGGATCAATAACCATCCATTACCAGCATTACAGGGCCCAGAGGACTTAAAGTGAGGCCTCTTCATCAAAATCAGGCCAAATGACAATGCTGTTGGAACAGAGGGCACGGCATTCAATGATGCCTGTTTAGTATCATGCAGACGTAAATAGTAAATATGTCTTCATCGTGCACAGAGAGGGTATGCTTAAGGAAAGTGAAAGCACTGCCGTGAAAGTGAAAGCACACCCGTGTAACTTACGATCAGCACCTCCTTTG